TACAACTATTTCTTATTGAACTAACTTATATATATATTTTACGGGTTGGTGTCTGCCTTTTTCACACCTTTTCCCTATATTTTATCATATTATTCAATAAGTGCTGTGTGCTGAATGCTTTTTATTATCAAAATAAGTAATGAATTATTAATTTTTGATAATACATGGGTCATTGAATACCATAATGTCATGTAGTTTCCTATTTGTAACTTGCAAGTAATAATAATTGATAGTTAATTCTGGAAAATGAAAAATAGTGAACGCATTCATAAACCTGTTGTCAAAACAGCTACGCGGGTGTAAGGGTTTATTGTTTCAGAGGCTAGGGTGTTTCAAGGACAAAGTGTTGGGCCTCCTGACTTAGGGGGGGAGGGGTGGTGGATGGAGGGGGAGGAAACTGGTTTTGGCTATTTATTGATTAGTTCACCGACCCTTCTAGTCAACAAAATTGAGTGACAGCGACACTGTTAAATCACCGTGTTCTGTATTTCATTTCTTGTTTACTTTGTGTGTTATTCTATTAATTTTAGTGTTTTGTTCTATTTCCTCCTGGTCCCTTGCAAATTGTATTATCAATGCTAAATAATTGTGGTCAATTCAAATTATATTTTTGATTATTCAAATCTCCTACACAAAAAGACAAAAGTCAAACTAGGCAAGGAAAAAACCTGCTATTGTAATCCCCGTACCCAGCCATTTGGGAAGTGGTGAAAGTCTAGTCTAAATATAGCTCAAAGGTCTCACCCTTCCCTTCCCTCCCCTTCCAACCCCCTCCTCAATGTTACTATTCCGCTCATTTCGAGGTCATTGCACACCGCCTCACTCCCTTCTATTGTTTTGCCTTTATAGTGTTTCTATTCTGACTTTTATAAACATAAAGTTATTGCTTACGTAACAGTTCAGTAGTGGAATTTTCTATCAGGGTGTCTAGTTTATTTCCATAATAAAATTCAAGACTAATTCCAGACTTTTCAAGACTAATTCCAGATTTTTCAAGACTAGTTTTTTCAACAATTAGTGGGTGTTGATACCAAAATGTATCGATTCTCGATTCTTGATACCGATATCAATTTTTATAGCTTAACCAAATTTTCTGAATAATACTACACCAACCCCTGTCTTTGTCATAAAGTAGTATTATAATAATGTGGTGTTTTCAAGTAAAGAAATAATGCAGCAATAAAAAGTTCTAACTAGCAAATTTGGTTTTTTTATCATGAAATCTTCCACGTACCGTACGTTTAGACATCGTCATTGACTGCAGCGGTTACAGAAACGTGATCATCGTCGTCCGCGATCACAGCAAAATCATGAACATTTCCCACGGCCGAGCAGATATAATCGTCGTCTCCCGCGGTCACGGAAACGTCATCGTCATCTCCCGCGGTCACGGAAACGTCATCGTAGTCGTCCGCGATCGCGGCAAAATCATGAACATTTCCCGCGGCTGTTTAGACATCACCGTCATCTCCCGCGGTCACGGAAACGTTATCGTCATCGTCTTCGATCACGGCAAAATCATGGACATTTCCCGCGGCCGTGTAGACATCATCGTCGTCTCCCGCGGTCACGGAAGCGTCATCGTCGTCTCCTGCGGTCACGGAAACGTCATCGTCGTCTCCCGCGGTCACGGAAACGTCATCGTAATCTCCCGCTGTCACAGAAATGTCATCGTCGTCGTCCAATATCGCGGCAAAATCGTGAACATTTCCCGAGGCCGTGTAGGCATCATTGTCGTCTCCCACGGTCACGGAAGCGTCATCGTCATCTCCCGCGGTCACGGAAACGTCATCGTCGTCGTCCGCGATCGCGGCAAAATACTGAACATTTCCAGCAGCTGCTTAGACATCACCGTCATCTCCCGCGGTCACGGAAACGTTATCGTCATCGTCCGCCATCACGGCAAAATCATGGACATTTCCCGCGGCCGTGTAGACATCATCGTCGTCTCCCGCAGTCACAGAAACGTCATCGCCATCTCCCGCGGTCACGGAAACGTCATCGTCGTCGTGACAAAATCATAAACATTTCCCGCGGCCGAGCAGATATTATCGTCGTCTCCCGCGGTCACGGAAACGTCATCGTCGTCGTCCGCGATCGCGGCAAAATCATGAACATTTCCCGCGGCTGTTTAGACATCACCGTCATCTCTCCCGCGGTCACGGAAACGTTATCGTCGTCGTCCGCGATCACGGCAAAATCATGAACCTTTCCCGCGGCCGTGTAGGCATCATTGTCGTCTCCCGCGGTCACGGAAGCGTCATCGTCGTCTCCCGCGGTCACGGAAACGTCATCGTAATCTCCCGCTGTCACAGAAACGTCATCGTTGTCGTCCACTATCGCGGCAAAATCGTGAACATTTCCCGAGGCCGTGTAGACATCATCATTGGATTTTGCGGCTACGTAAACGCAAGACGACGATCGCGGCAAAATCATGAAAATTCCCGACTTTGAAATCAAATTTAAGACTAAATCCCGACTTTTCAAGACCATTTTGAAATTCAATACTAATTCCCGACTTTCCCGATTTTCCCGACTACTAGACACCCTGTTTCTATTGTGAAACAGTAGGCCTACTTTAAAACAAAATCACTACCGATCATGTCATTCTATTCTGTGTCAAGTCAGTATACCATTGCCAGTCAGTCACCGGCGACTGCTTTGAGTTGACCTATTCTGTCGTGACAGCTATAAAAATAGGTTAGGACAACTACCTCTTGCTTATTTATATATTTGTATGACTGTAGAATCTACAGTAATACAAATTATCCATCATTTTATGTAAACACAAGTTACATTTAAACAAATATTGATCTTTTACAATTTTAAACCAAACTAGCGAGTTCAAAGATAAGCTCAAGTTTCTATGCCGTGCTCTACTCGAACTCAAAATCTCGAATACTCCCATTTTGTGTTAATAGTATAAAAAAAAATCGGATCCATTAAAACCGGATCCAGCCCAAGATCCGATTTTTTTGTGGATCCAATCGGGCGTCGGTTCTAGCTCAGATCCGGCGGATCCGGTAGTCCGATATACGGATCCGACCATCACTAATATTATTCTAGACAGATCATCATAGGTTCATGAGATTATTGTCATACGTGCTTTCAATCATTGGAAAATCTTTGATTGTGTAATACAATAGAAAATAATACAAGTGCAGAAGGACACGGTGCCCATTTGAGCCGTGTCCATATTTTGTTAAATTGTGGTTTACAGCAACTGGATAATACATTTTACAATATTTGTAGAAATATGTGCATGATTTAGAAAGTCATTAAGCTGTAAAACTGCAATATACTGCAGACTTTTCAGAGAAGTTACTTCGATATATTCATTCAGCTCAGTGAAAACATAATATAGATATGTATACGAATAAGAACTTGAACTCTTGGAGAGCCTTTGAATGTTATTAGACTAACGAAAAGAGTTGTGCATGTTTACTAGCGCTACTCAGCAACAAAAACCATTTAATTTATCTCTAAAATATATATTCTTAAAGTGCACTGAGCAGCAGCCTAAAAAATCTATGTAACTTACCCATATAATATAGATACAAAATGCTCAAACTCGCATTGTGACATTTATAATTCAGCTTATATTTCTCTAACAGAAAATTCATCTGCAGAAGAATTTTATCGTGCTCTTACTGTTTCTAATAACATCCAACACAGAAACCTTGCCTAAAATGGTACCTATCTTGACAAATTATTTGCCGTGGCCCATATTACGGACCGTGGCTCACTGAGTTGGTAACATTAATCCCGCTTGTAACCAATTTTATGTGTTGGTGGATTATGTACAATGGCTACAAACTACAAAGGATCGTTTTGGAGAGTAACGAGTAACATAAACCACTAAACATACTTTTAAATGCTATCATTGTGTCCATTATTCTTGAGCTTTGAATGTAAATAATTATAAGGGTGTCTCACAGAAAGTGAACCAATAGCCAACTTTTTTATGATGAGATATAAGTTATCTTCTTATAGGGCACTCCCATTTATTTTTTTAGATATTTTTGGGGATGGTTTCAAATTTTTTAAATTTGTCTGTCATTTTCCAATATGACCGCCAAATTTGTTATTTCTTATGTTTGTCCTTAGTCTTCAATGTATTTTAAGATTTTTTGGAATGTAAATGCAATTTTAAAATGAGATTCCTGACAATTCTTCTCTAAAGCTACTTGTTTAGGAGTTACAGCGTGGTAAATAAAAAAAAACCAAGTGTTCCAATATTAAAAGTTAGCTGTCATTTTTTTAATAGCAGAATCAATATTTTTAATGTATTTTATATAATTTATAGAATGTGGATGCGATTTTAAGACATATTTATTCACTGCATATTCTCTCTAATCTAACTCGTATAGGGGCTACAGGATGCATAATGTACACCACTAGCCTTGTTTTCTTAGGTGTAACACGCTTTAACTCCCAAACAAGTAGCTTTAGAGAAAAAATGTCAAGAATAAAAACGTTTTAAATTGCATTTACATGCTAAAACAATCATAAAATACAGGTTTCCATAAGAAATAACAAAGTTGGCGGCCATATTTTTGAAATTTGAAACCATGCCAAAAAACATCTTAAAAAATAAAGGGGAGTGCCCCATAAGAAGCTAACTCGCTATATCTCACAATGAAAAAGTTATCTGGTTCACTTTAGGTGAGACACCCTGTATATATTTAAGAAAACATCTTCAGAGAAAATAATTTTTAAATCAATTTTTATTCACAGTAGCACAAGCGAGTACCAAAGCTATATGTTGCAGGTTACAATGTTACATGTAGCAAATCTTAAACTTCTGGCAACAACTTCTTACCTCTGCTTACCAGCCTAGTTTGCTAAGACCAAGCATCAGCATAATGTCAGACGGCCTTGAGATTTAAATCTCATTTGGCCAATTGTATGCTGCTCACATGAAAGCCAGTGCTTATCCTTGCTGATATTGTTAGTTAGATTTAAGTAAATCCCTAGGTTAGGCCTACAGAAGTGTTTACCTTTCTTGAGAGGCACTAGAGTCTTGAGCCCCCAACCCCTCTCCTGAGTATGGTAAGGCTGCAGTGGAGGATATTGCCGCTTCTCAAACAGCTGATTGCAACACTTATCTCCAGCTGGACACACTTGCGGGTGACATTCCACCATCAGTATTCTGTTGAGACAGTCAGAGTCCGGAGCGCACGGATTGTCACTGTTAGGATCACACTCGCAGGGCGTCAGGTTGGACAGGTTCATGTCCATAGTGCGGACATTGCCAACAGGTTTGTTGGTCTTCAGCTTCACATAGTTTGGAGGCTTCTATAACAATGTAAAATTCAGAACACTATTACTCTGTTTGTACATCATTAATGATTCAGAAAACTCAAATCTTTAATTTTGTATATTTTAATTTTCAAAACTTGACCTTTGAAGTTAAAAATGCTGCACAAATCTCTGGAATTAATAGTGATGATAAAACTAGTTCAAAGTAGGACAATAATTAAGAATAATAAGATAATAAAAGGCGAATTCAGAAATTGACATTAACAGATATAAATTATACTAAGAATTGAAATTATACTAAAGGAAATTGACAGGAAAGCAGGCTTACCTTTAAATAAATCCTTACAGACTCATATAAACAACACAAAAGAAAAAAATTTTGTGGTCGACCACGAACATTTCTACTTTTGTGTTGTTTATATATGTCTCCATAGACTTATTTAAAGGTAAGCCTGCTTTGCTGTCAATTTCCTTAACGATTCCTGGCAAATGCCCTATCTTTTAATCAGATAAATTATACTAAGTTATACTTTGTTCAACAACTACAAGTAGTACATACAACTCTTAAGTTTTAAAGCTCCACCAAAAAAATTTACATTACAAACTGTAAATGTAGAGGCTTTACATCATATTTAAATGCTTAAAATTATTGCAAATACTAAGTACCAAAACACATAGGACATCCCTAAACATTAAAACAACGATCTTGTTTGTGCAACTATAGGCCCTGATAGTGATGAAACACAAACAGATAGACATTGAGATAACACTTGACTTATTTGATTATTACGTCATGTGATTATTAGTAATGAAGCCATAATATCAGGGTCCAGGATTGGCAAAGGCGCAGTGCACAACACCACTATCTTGTTAACTTCATCTTGTAGTCTTACATTTCTTGCAGTCCTGCAATAGTTCGCGAAAAAGCAATTAATTTATGGTTTAAGAAACGTATTTAAGAAACAATACAACTTAGTGGTTTGAAATCACATCTAACCTGGTACATGGACAATAAATTGGAGATTAACTGAAGTTATAAAATAAAAAAATGTCAAGGCAAGTAGTAAAGAAATTAGCAAGAAGGGTGTTCTACTGTAGTCTAGATGTATTTACCATGCCAGGTCTAGTCTCAGCATCTCTACTGGCCTTCTCCTCCAGATATCTTCTCTGAGCCTCACTTGCCTCTTTGACTGCTTTCTCAAACATATTGTCCACTGCAGACTTCTTGTAGTTTGGCTTTCCAGCAGTATCCTGTAACCAGTTGTGGACTTAATCATTGCATGATTCATTGTCCTACACCAGCAATGATATTGATTTGTCTTTAATCTTGTAATTACTTCGCACAGAAAGTGAATAACAATTTTTCAATAATACTGTTGAAACATGTATTAATACTTATACTGTTGACTCCATGTACAAGACTATCTGTGTCCATATATAAAACTACAAGCTGCTATACCCGTGCTCTGCAACGGGAAGAAAATGTGATCTAGAGAGCTATTAAAGTGGTGCTGATGTGTGTTTTAAAATACAGCAAATCTATGATTTAATTTGAAAATATAAACTGATTTAAAAGTGTAAACCTATCAAATCAATCAATCAAATCATTTATTTAGCCAAAATTTTAACAAAACAAGTTGCATTAGCTAAGGCGGTCGACACACGGGAAGACTGAAACCCAACTAGAGTTGAACCAACTTTTTTGTGACGCGATTACGATTGCAGTTGCGTTGGTTAAATCCACACACGGGCGCGACTGTAGTTGAGTTGAGACGGTAAATGAGTTATAATTTTGTTATAACGATACTGTGTACTGTGTATGGTGAATTAAATGAGTGGTAGTGATTAAGAAGCCCTGGTGTTTTATAGACAATCAAGAAAGCGTAGAGGACGTAGAAAGTATTGGGTACATCCTTATGTTAAAACAAATATTCAATTTAGGCTCTTTGTAGCTGCCGCTGCATTACAAGAAATAGACGCAAAAATTCAGTCTATGTACAAGATGTCACAAAGTACTTACGAAAAGTTATCGCAGTTGGCATGCCCGATCCTTGAAAAGCGCAATACAAATATGCGAAAAGTTGCTCAAACCAGGCGACTGAAATCACCTAGCAACCGGCAGGTCCGGTTGCTTAACGACTGATCGCCGACTGGTCCTCAACTGGTCGCATCGCAGTCGCCCCGTGTGTACTGTCCCACCTAACTACATTGGTCGGGACGCAGACGACTAGTTTGTCCAACTAGTTCCCGACTTCAGTTGGAAAACAGTCTTCCCGTGTGTCGACGGCCTAAGTCACATTATTTTTAAAAGATGCCTTACATAGATCTACAATATATACAGGTATTTACAAAATGGCTTACATTATACTACAAATTACATCAAAGACTTATAAATCAACACTTACAATCGCATTCCTAGAGCTGATATGAGTTATGAATTCCTGGACGCTGTAAGAGGTAAAATTTAACAAAAGAGATTTTAATCGTTTTTTAAATTTTGGAAGGTTTGGTTCTAGCTTAAGAGAAAGTGGAAGAGAATTGAAAAGTTTTATTCCATTGTACTGTAAGTGTCTTTTGAAAAATGTCGTAGAATGTTTAGGGATTGGTAATGTGTGTGAGTTTCGCAAAGTGTAGTGGTTTTTGACAGAAACGTTAAATTGAGCAAGTTCTTGTTTTACAAATGTTAAGGATTCCAGAATATAAATGGATGGAAATGTCAAAATTTTTGAATGAGCAAAATATTTACGGCATGATTTACGCTTTTGCAAAGAGAAAATAGTCCTCATAGCCATTTTTTGAAGTTTAAACAAAATGTTGGTCTGCTGGCACTCACATCCCCAAATAGGAACGGCGTATGCTAAGTGGGGATAAATGAGCCCATAGTATGCAGTCAGCAGTACCTCCAGATTTTCATTGTTCTTGAGGTTACGCAAAACGAAAATACCAGAGCTAAGTTTCTTTGCAATGTGTTTCATATGGCCATGAAAACTAAGTCTCTCGTCCAAGATCAATCCAAGAAACTTGACATTTGGTGTTGGATGAACTTCGGTTTCGTCGAGAAGGAGACTGAATCCATTTGAGCGATTTGATAAGCGGAAGTTAATGAGTTGTGTTTTTTCTGTGTTAATTTTCAATGAGCTGTCGTCAAACCATTGGATTATACTGTTTGCTTCCAAAAAACTAATTTGTTCTAAATTGAGAAAATCAGAGCTAGAAATCGAAAGAGAGGTGTCGTCGGCGAACAATGATAGATTTGAGGATGTTGTGCAGGAAGAAAGGTTGTTAATAAAAATTAGAAAAAGGACTGGTCCCAGGACGGAGCCTTGAGGAACCCCCCTTGCAACAGAATTCTCAGCAGAAGGGTAGGATCTAACACACCCAGCCTCATCTACTGCCCTTATCTCTACATATTGACTCCTGTCACAAAGAAATGACCTGACCCAATCCAAAGCCAATCCTCTCACGCCCACATTGCTCATTCTTTTGAGCAATAAGTTATGGTCCACCATGTCAAAGGCTTTGCTTAAGTCAAAAAATAAACCAGCAGAATAGTTTGCAGCATCTAATTCACAAACCACCTTGTTTATTAATTTAAACATCGCTGAAGTGGTAGATTTGCCCTTTGTAAATCCATGCTGGTTTTCGGATATGATATTATTTGTCCTGAAAAAATCCCACAGCCTTATCACCATGATTTTTTCAAATATCTTTGAAAACACAGACACTACTGATATGGGCCTATAGCTATTGCAAAGCGTTGGATCTCCTTTTTTGAATATAGGCCTGACCACTGACACCTTCAGCGCTTGGGGAAACGATCCACTAGAGAATGAAGTGTTAATTAAATGACATAGGGGTTTTATCAGATATGGTGCAATCTTTTTAAGTAAATACGGAGATATTTCATCAGCCCCTGAAGACTTTTTATTTTTTAGACTTTTAATGACACTTAAAATTTCCTTTTCGCTAGTTGGACGTAAAAAGAGTGAACCAACAGCTCTTTTATTAATATCTGTATTATTGGATGAAGTATGTCTTAAGTATTTACCCGTATCTGAAAAGAAGTTGTTAAGCTGATTGGAAATGCATTTAGGGTCTCTGATGACTTCGCCACTATCATTTTTGAGAATTATTTCTGTGGGATTCGTTTTGGTAGATGATCGTCTATGATTTATTATGTTCCATATAGTTTTTGCTTTATTGTCTGAACCCTCAATTCTCTTTAAAGTGTCCTCTGACTTTATTTGTCTTATTAAACGTCTATACTGATTTTTTAACTTTTTGTAATGGTGAACCAAGTAGTGGGACGAATCAAGATTTTTTGTTTTGTTATATAGGGCAAACAGCTGTTCCTTAAACTTCGTAACCTCAGGTGACTTTATCTTTTTTCTAGTTGTATTTTACCTACTTTCAAACCCCTACTTTTGATGTTAATATATCCAAAAGAATATTACACATACCTTAGTGTAGCAATAGGATCAACTTCTTCATATTGATGCTTCATGAATGACATGTTTTACCATAATTCTTCAATTTTAGTCAAGCCTCTTTACATGTAGCTTACTATTTAAATTACAAAATAAAACTGGCTGCACTTTACTTGATGTCCTACACTCATTCGAATGAAAATATCGATCGATATATCGATTAATTGATTGCTTCATTCGATATATCGTTTGGTTAGTTAGGTAAGGTTAACCTAACCTAACTAACCAAACGATATATCAAATGAAACAATCGAATGAAAATATCGAATCGAAAAAACGATCAAATGAGTGTAGGACGTCAAGTAAAGTGCAGCCATAAAACTTTGAGCAATACTTAACAAAATGTATACAACCTTATTTTAAAACCAAACATAACCCTCCTCAATCTACATAAAGCATCACAAACATCTTTTTCTAGTAAATAAACAAACACCAGTTCATTGCACTGACCAGCTGTTTCATTAAATAAATTAAATTATACCGTTTGAACTTAGAAGTATGCCAGGCGTAGCCCTTTGGAAATCAGCCTGTGGGGCAGAGCCCTTAGGTAATTTGTCCATATCAATACTTTTCGGCAAATCTACACACTGTAAGCTTCATTTTGATGTGCCATATGCCCATATTTTTATTTGGTAAATGGCCTTAACCGTTTACATAAAATTTGATTGTATCACTTTAATAATATAATAGATCTGTGTCCATATACAAGACTATCTGTGTCCATGTACAATACTATCTGTGTCCATGTACAAGACTATCAGAGTCCATATACAAGACAATCTGTGTCCAAAGATAGTCCTGCACATGGACACAGACATTCTTGTATATGGACACAAACAGTGTCTACGTCTTTGACATTGCCTAGCCATATGAGTTTTTTTTAAGATCCGGATCCGGAAATGGTACCGACATTTTCTTGGATCCGCCCATCACTACTAAATTCAATTAATACACATAAAAGCTGTATTTTCAAAGGTGATTAGACTTCTTCACGTTCGTATACAATATTGTGGACAGTGCCAACAGCACCAGACTAATTCTACATCGGTCCAAAGGTTGTGGCGTTACATGACTCTACAGCCTTATTTTCGTTGAGATCATAACAGAGGATTAGGGATGCTGCTAAACTCGCTTTTCCAATGTGCCACTTTCAGTTTTGACTGACCATTATTATTATTGACCGTTATTATTGCGCTGCCATCGCTGGACCGTCCACTGATTAAAGATGAGTCTATGACCCATCTTCTGTCGGTACGCTGACCTGTTTAATTGTCCATAACCACAATTTTTCGTCATCAGGTTTTGGTGCCGGTACTTTTTCGCTAGAACCGGGGGTAGCGAGAGTCATTTTTGGATACCAACACATTTACAACTTAGTTATCGTTGATTTTGCACATTTCTTAATATCAATCAATCAATAAATTCTTTATTCAGAACGTACAGATACATCGTACATGAATGCGCCATTATGTTATTTTTAAATAATAACATAAAGGAATATATTACATAAAGTTAAAAGATTTTTAAAATAGCAGTTTTTAGATTAAATAAATACATTACTTAAAGTTAGATAAAATACTCCAACCATACTAGGAATTTCCTAAAATTGATATTGTATGTTGAAATAGGTTTATTATTAATAAAGTTGAGAATACTAAAGGTTCTACAAAACAAAACATTGAATAATACAAATACATTTGTATTTAAAGTAACAGATAGATTGACAAGATTGTAAAACTATTGTATAATATCAAACAATATCAAATTATTTACAGTATCACCGTTACACCTTTTAAACTACTCTTGTTATGACTTAATGTTTAACCTCTTTAGGACCTTCCATTTTATGCTTTTGTTAGTGGGGACTGGTTAAAACACCACAGTAGGTTTTGCAAATATGATTGTGAGATGATATATAATCTAAACTAGTTTATGCGTGTTGATAAAAATATGTATTTGTAAAATATGTATTGAGTACTTTAATTGATTCGGTTATATGTTTACCTCATATAACATTTGAACATGGATTGAAACATTAGATGTATTTGGAATACTCTGAGAGTGAGAAGTAAAACATAACTTTCAGCAATGATGCATCAAAATCTACCTTTACTGAGTGATTCAGAAATGTAATTATAACATATTTTGTCAACATGACTAGAATGTTAATAAAATAGATGTATCAGCACGAAATAGTTTGTAAGATAAAAAATTGCAGCATAGGACAACTTATAGTGTTCTAACCTAAAACACTGTTATTGTTTCAATGTAAAAATTAAGTTACCAATTTATGTTTGTAAACCAAAATAGATGTTTTAATGGTGGCATAAAATCAATTTAAATAATTATTTACTACACAAATTATTTGTAATGTAAAACATTGTTCACCACTCGGAGCAAAAGTATATAGCAAAAGTTAAGCACTCGGTACTTAAATTGTTTTATAGTACGTGGCAGTACAGTATTATTAGTTTATTAGTTGCTTGTTGCACTGTTCTACACACTGCTCAAGCGCTAAAACTCATTAAGTGGCATCCTGTCCACACACTGTTGATATATGCTGAATTGCGGCATGGTGCCACTATTTAGAGTGTAGGCTGGCGCGAGAATTGGCAACATAGCATTAGGGAAATTATAGTTCCAGCGGACGGCGCGAGGCGCGCTAGCTACCGGTATAGTTTCGTGTTCCACAATTCGGCGTGTACCTGCGCTGCTTAAACTCACATCAACGAGTTCAAAAATACTCAATTGTGGCATGTGATGTTTAAACGCCGTAATAATGCTGGAAAACCCAAAAAATTATCGAATTAGCTGTGGCACCCTGAAAAAGGTGCCACAATTTTTTAAGGTGCCACAGTACGGCCGTGTGCCTGTGAAAGATGCCACTATTCGGTGAATACAGACACACACACACACACATATATATATGAATTTGAATGGATGGTGTTGTTGGCCTCTGGAGACCTCAAAAAAAAGTAAATCGGTTCCGGGTCTAGGTCTACGTACCATGAGACCTACGGTAATAGCTTATTCCCTATATGGAAAATTCGCTAAAAAACAGTAAAAACTTCCACCAGAAAAGTTGCGAAATATTGAGTTGTTGGAACTACTTGACTCACCCCGTCCTGGTACAAGAAGACGCGGCCTCGGTTGACCCAGTAGTGGTCATGTGACCCAAAGAACCTGACAGCAAACTCACCCCTCACATGGGGAAGGTTCAAGATGTTGTCAGGGATCTGGGAGGGGTACAGAATTTCTGCTGGCCACCACCTGGATTAATAATAATCAAACAAACCTATTTACCAACTTGAATTAATAAATATACTTAGATTACATGTATGTATTGTAGGGGTCTGCGGTAAAGAAAATTTCAGGTCGGTACGGTACAATATTTTGTACCTCGGTTCTCGGTACAAAATCGGTACGGTACGCGGCTACCCTTATTTTTGCGGTTTTCTGCTCAGAACTGTTAAACCATTATTTTTAACTTTAATACATTGACATTATTATGAAAATGGATAGTATCCTACATTCATGGTTTTCTAACAACAATTACTGTACCACACATTATTAAAACAAGACCTTTTACTACTACGAAGATTGTGTCAAGAAAAATCACAGTTACGATAAACACTTTACCTATTTTACTCTGAGAAACTTTGAATAGCAATAATAAAAGTGGTTTTAAAAATAGGATAAGAGTTTTTAGGAATAAACATGTTTGAAACATTTATTGACAAGATAATTTCACACAACTGGTAAATTATTTCCAACCAACACAATGTCTAGTTGTTTTTTAAGTTTTTAAAAACATATAAAAGCATTCAGTACGATAACAGTGTAGTTGCCAGCAGTTAACAGTAGACGACAATGAAAAACTGGAGGTTATGATGAAGTAATGGCAAAGAGCATTTTTTTTTTTTAATCAGCTTCAAAACTAGTTATAAGATGGATACAACTCTTGCAAAGTTTTTTATGAAACTAAAATTTAGATTATCACAGAGTAAGATTATTGTCTTTTCATTTACAAAGTTAACATCCACAATATCAATCATATCAATCATTAGTTTATCTCAGGCTCAATCCAATTTTCTTAGTATATTTTAAAGGTCTTCCAAAGAATCAAAAGACCCCGGCCTGGACCTAATTATTTAGGAGGGCCTATATATAAATTGATTAGGTTAAAACAAGGGCAAAATCACTATCTAGTTCATAAGATTTATATTGCATAAAGTACCTTCAACACAATAAAAAATACAGGAAACTAAAAAAACATTTAAGCCTTAAACAGCCACATCTAACAATATAAGACAAGATACAGAACATGCAATGACATAGTTTGAGACCGAGTAGGCTTGAATAACGAAAAAAAATTATGCAAAAAACAACAACTATGCTTGTGGTTTCGTCAATAGAAAGATGAAATATCTATAACAAATATTTTAACTTATAAAATAAGATTGTAGATTAGTTAAAAGTTTAATATGTAGCCATAAACAGTTTTATGGCAGTAGGCAATGGCCAGCGGCAAATTTAATATTCACGAAAATACTGACTGAGTAAGAGATAACATTTAACAGTCATCATAAAACTATTAATTTTTTGATAAAATAGAATTGGGGAAAGTCGTAAAGAATTAACAGTGATAAAACACAACAGTTCTTGGAAGTACTTGAATACAACAATTATTGTTGTGAAAAAATGTTAATGGATTTGGGACTGCTAATGGGTTTTTTATTGCATCATCACCCTAATAATAAATTATGAAGATGGTAAACATACATCTGATAAGAGTTTTATGTGCTCGGAACCAACTGTTGTTGACTACATGGTAAACTGAAAGTAATTTATTATTATAATAGGCTGTACCGAACCGAATTTGTACCGTGTAAATTACTGTACTGAACCGATGACGGTAATTAAGCTTGTACCGACTTTTTCGGTGCACCGCAGACCCCTAATGTATTGTGAAAAACGATTCAAATGTTAATCAGGTTAAATACAATTTGAGAAGTACTCAGATGAGAGGCTGGTTGGTTTTGTGTAAAATATAAAGGTTAGAATTTAGATTTTTAATCCAGCACAGTCTTACTCTTTCAAAAACTAAAGGTATCAACTACCTTACCAGCTGAAGTTTAACTGTTACCCCCTAATCAAAACCCAACCTTCTTCTTCTAAAATTATAAGAAGCTCTAATCAGCAGATAAAAAAGTTAAATCTCATCTTTCTTATTTTAATTTATATAACATTTTATATACAATACTCTGATAACAACTTTATACTATATTATAATATAATAGCCAGTGTTCGACTTGTAAAAATTGAGGTGCCGGAACTGTTAACTGTTTAATATGATTAGTACCTTTGACTATTGATACAACTAGATGTTCCATAACCATTTTAAAGTTGTCGCTAGTTTTTTTTTTCAAATTCGTCGTAGTTGATGTGAGCCACTGACAGATTACACTGATCTAAATTACTAATTTCTGTTGAATTCACAATGTTTTCACCAAGTTAGACTTATGGAACAACTTAACTTATTATGAGCTATAGCAACTGTTATGATTAACTATGTGAGTGACAAAAAATAAGGTAGAAAATTAAATTTTAGACACTAAGCACATTCTGTGACTGGCTCACAAAACTATGTTTTTTTAGCAAAAAATTGGCAACAGCTGGTCCATATAGATGAGAGGTCTACTTCTGTATGTACAATAGTCAAAGTTAATACCTATTTATGCCTACTAAATAAACCGGAATCGAGCAATTTCAAAGTATTACAGGATTGTTTCTTCATAATATTGCCAAACGGGTAAATCATAATACAGTGTGTGATAAGTTTATTTTGTATAATAAAGTATTACAGGAGTTATTTCAAAACGAATAATAGTCATACTGTATTTACAATGAGTTTAAAAGAGTCAACTCAAAGATTACCAGTGTGTAACAAAAAAGATACTCACGATTTATCAGTAATCAACAATTCCTGTAAATATTGTATCATATTTCATAACCTGGAATTGCTTTTTAACGTTTTATACAAACATTTCCTGACTTATAGCCATATAAGGTTGTCCATGTTTATCTTCGTTATTGATAAACCTAATACCTAATGCGTTATTGATAGCATTCCGGCCGGTTTTCTCCTTCTCAAAATGTCTCGCTGTACAGGCAACACATGTCATTGATAGATGGCCAATTGAAAACGAAAAGTCGTTTTGGGGTAGTGTTTGGGCGCATTTGTAACCTAATAGTTGAGATAGTCCAGGGTCAGGTGCTGACTGATGAGTTAAGCCTATTACGCGCCACTGTTCTGTAGCTGCGGTCGTAATCACGATTACGCCTCCTGTCTATGTTTTGTTGTCGTCACGTCGGGGGTTTAAAGAAAGAAACAACAAATAAACAACTTATAGCTACACAAAACAACGATAAATGCACAAAAGTTACAATCATGCTAACATGATCCGGCATAGCAACACAAAACAACGATAAATATACGAATTTAAGATACAACCATACTAACACGATCCGTCTTGGGGGTTATGTTTACACAAACTCAAATAGTTCCTTTCATAACAATTTTATTAACCGATCAGCATCCTTATATATAATATGTGAAGGCGATTTCTACGAAACACTACTTCTCCGTTAATAATGGACAGATTTTTACAAACGATGTGTCAAAATGAAGTATTGTTTGTGTAGATGTCCCCTTTCACCAACTCCTGTAATAAAAGTCCTCGGGCTTTGCCCCACAGGCTCAAAATCCCCATGTCTTTCTTATGGATAGAAGACTTTGTTTACTTAACAGACGAATTATTTGTATTATTTATAGCTGTTCATAGTAAACACATGATACACACAAGAGCGTTCGTTTTCAGTTTCAATAACTGGAGTGAAGTGATTGATTACATTATCTTTGAGTTGACTCTTTTAAGTCATCGGAAATTATGACTGTTGTTCGTTCTGAAATAGCACCCTTAATACTTTGCGATTGCTCGAATTCGAGCAACAGGTGCTATAGTTACATTAAATAAATGTACTCAATGCGTTTCATTGAATTGAAAAATAAACAACAACAATTAAATTATACAGCTGATCAAAATGTAAACAATTATGTTCTCCATAAGGATAACATGGGAACTTTCAAAGCCACTGGGGCAGAGCCCAAGGGACTTTAAAAAAAATGTAAGGCCAGTTTGCAAATCTACGTGACACCCTCTTTCCAATGAGACATCAGTGGATAAAATCGGTTGAGAAATGGCGGAGGAGTTCAACCGAAAAAAGTTTCATGTAGCGTATTAATTATATAGATATTTTTATCTTTCTGAAAGAGAGGTACTGGATTTGCCGTTCCGACTTGTTCCCCCTCAAATCGAGCACTGATAATAGCTAATACTGTATAATATTTTTAATGATTCTACATCGGCAAACAAATTATACTGATAGTGTAGGCTACTAATAATTATTTTTGTTTAACTCTCAAAAATGCCACATTTCTGAGGTTGTACCTGTAGATGCCAAGTTTAACCCAAACAATCTCGCCATAGAGAGGGAAGCGGCCAGTCTGGCAGTCCTCACACACGTAGGTGTCTGGCGGAGTGGAGATCTTGAGACAATCAGCATGGAATGCCGTGGGACACAAGTCACAGCAGATCAAAGATCCTCCTGTACATCACCCAGACAAATCACTACACACCATACATTCACTGCAGGGTGAGGTAAAATTAATACCCCCGCCGCAGCTAACCTGCAGACTAAGCGAATTTCCATATACACAGCTGGAATTCCACTAAATTGTTCCCTTAAAATTGTCAGATTTATTTCCTATTTAAACATCATTAATATTAATGAGTACTTAGGTTTGCTGCTACAGGGAAGAAAATAGGGGGTTTTTATTGAAATATTAATAGTTCGGTATGAAGTAAACAAAATTATAAAATTTCATTAATATATGTCCATACACAAGCAAGCTACAAACACTATATTTATTCTCCATGAGAATAACATGGTAATTTTAAATTTACATTATTTTGCGATTTTTCCGTAACCGTTAGGCATGCAACAATGCTTTAATATACTAAATTATTTGTTTTTTTGAGCTCTACAAAAGGGTTTAGAAAGAAATTGCAAAATTTTATGTTTTCAGAGTGAAAAATTAGAAAAACCCATTTTTACCCCATAAAACCCCCCATAAACCCCTGTTCCCATAGTCCGATCATGCTGGGTCGCGAACTCGTTCGAATAAATGTAGGTTTACACGTTTATATCAAATTTCATCAAAATCGGACCATTTTTGCTCGAGTTATCGCGCTAACGGACACATATATAAATATATATATATATATATATATATATATATGAATTTGAACGGATGGTGTTTTTGGCCTCTGGGGACCTCAAAACGAAAAACTAAATCGGTCCCGGGTCCAGATCTTACCATGAGACCTACGGTAATAGCTTATTCCCTATATGGGAAATTCGCTAAAAACTGTTTTTATCTGGGTTTAAGAGAAACAAGGTCTTGAATCAGAATTACCTGAATTAATTATATGGTATTTGGGACCAAGGGATCATACAAGTACAAATTGTATAATAAAAAATAAAAAAAACATGAAACCATCCTATAAAGAAATTAAAATACAAAAGATATTGGCACTTTATTTCCAATCCAATAGAGATCAATTAAATGTTATCATTATACAATTTTATCATCAGGATTTGATATTGATACAGTACTTGTTGTTTCGATTTTAGTTTCTCAACAATATTTTTGGAAATGAGGAAATAGGCAATATTTCATAAGCTATACAGGGTGTCACAAAAAAGTGTGATGGGCTATACAGGACCTAATTCTACATGCAAAAATAAGTCAAAAATGAAGAATAAAACTTTTTGGATTTCGGCTTAGTTTAGCCGTAATCCGCCATTTTGTTTTTTGGGGAAAATATTTATTATTTCAAAATCCCTTTGAGATATTTTTACGAAACTTGGCAAAATTGTTTACACTATAGTAAGTAACATTTATAAAAAAAATTATTATTTTAACTTTCCAAATTTCAAAATGGCGGCCGTTTGAATTTTTTAGTGCCAAATTTCATGAAAACCGGTACCTAAATCAAAATTTTGTAAGAGACAAAAGTTTTAGTATTTATTATGACAAATCCAACAAAACAAAAATGAATAAAATCGGTTCATAAATAAGGAAGCTGTGTTTATTTTAGTAATTTAGATTGAAATAACTTAATACGTTACATAAATTATTACATCACATTTAATACATTTTAATATTAATAATTCCAGTCTAAATTACTAAAATAAACACAGCTTCTTTATTTATGAACCGATTTTATTCATTTTTGTTTTGTTGGATTTGTCATAATAAATACTAAAACTTTTGTCTCTTACAAAATTTTGATTTAGGTACTGTTTTCATGAAATTTGGCATTAAAAAATTCAAACAGCCGCCATTTTGAAATTTGGAAAGTTAAAATAATAATTTTTTTTATAAATGTTACTTACTTTAGTGTAAACAATTTTGCCAAGTTTCGTAAAAATATCTCAAAGGGATTTTGAAATAATAAATATTTTCCCCAAAAAACAAAATGGCGGATTACGGCTAAACTAAGCCGAAATCCAAAAAATTGTATTCTTCATTTTTGACTTATTTTTGCATGTAGAATTACGTCCTGTATAGCCCATCACACTTTTTTGTGACACCCTGTATATAGGCTTGTGTCTTTCCACAAACTAACTAAGCAACTGTCCATGGCAAGGGTTGGGGTAGGGGAGAGCAGACAGGCAAGAGTAAGCAACAGCCCTTAAAACATCAAACTTATCATTGTCAACTACAATTTTATCAACAATAAAGAAAAAGTTATGTTTCATGCAGCTTACCATACATCATACTAGTGAAAACCTACCTTCAGGTTTAACTGCTCCAAATAGCATGGCAAAAAGTAAATATTTATTACATAAACTATTGAATATTACTTGTATCCTATTTATGAATATTTTTTAACTACACTTTATTTACAGGGACAGTAATTGTTTGCCCCAAAGGCCTATTAATCTTACACCAATCTAGCATTGTAGAAAAAAAAACTAGATAATGTCGTTTTAATGAAATACCCAAGTTACTTTAAGGAAAAAAATCTACAATTTATAAAATAGAAGTGGTTTTTTTTTGTGTACCCCTGTATGTTCTAGGTGAATGTTAAGGCAAAAACTACTGAACCAAGTGGGTTGATATTGTACAGAAATGTAGATCATGACGCCTAGTTTATTTATGTCCTTTTAGCGAATTTCCCATATAGGGAATAAGCTATTACCATGGGTCTCATGGTAAGACCTGGACCCGAGACCGATTTACTTTTTCATTTTAAAGTCCCCAGAGACCAAAAACACCATCCGTTCAAATTCATATATGTAACCCTCAGTAAACGCTTGGAATTTTAATATTTACATCTGGCAATTAAACATTGTAACATTTAACATTTAAAAGAATGTAAAAATATCCCAATATTGAAAGTTCCCAAGGGTGAGATTTTTGATCAAGGTATACTGTTAATACTGTTCAATGAAATGGCGACCATACATAGTTGGTATTTTAAGCCAAGTATGAATAGAGATGAGTGTAGGATGAGTGGCGCGATCTTGTAGTCTTGTTAGTGACTAAGGCCGATATTCCTTAGACACAGCTGTTAATTAATAGCCCATACAGCTAATGGCAACTAAGGGACCTACAGTTTACAGTGGAATCCGAACCACATTTTTCCTTGGTATATACGAATTGGTCTAATTATCAGGATAGTACTGCGGATAGTCGCAGTACTCACTCGTGCGGACCTTAATCCACACCAGGAAGTATTGCATCCACAGTGCATGCCTATTAATATCCACAATTCATGACCTCCTAGTAGCTGGATTACAGGACGACGCCACCCGTCCCAGTCTTTATATCATTGGCAGCATTATAAGCATTAACTGTATATAAGGAAATAGAGCCATTGACAAGTATAATTAAAAAGAAAAGAATTTCATTCATTGGACATCTTTTAAGGACACCGGAAAATAGAATAAGCAAGAAAATAATTGACAAGTTGTGGAATAGCAAGAGTGACTTTAGGTGGATTACAGAGATTAAGGAGGACATGAGAAGGTTGAAAATATCATTAGAAGATTTGGAAAATAAGTCAGAGGCGCTTGCAGTACTCAAAGACAAAAATATCGTCCTGCCAATAGGAGCAAACAATCAGAGACAAGGAAGAGTGGTTTCGGAAGAAGAAAGAAAACAACGGTCGGAAAGAATGAAGAAGTATTGGGCGGACAAGAAGAAGAGCCAAAATTTAAAAAGAACCTGACCATTATTGACTTAAGTGGTCCAATGCTGGCCATAAAATAATAATAATAATAATAATAATTGGCAGCATTAAAGGTATTTCAACAAACCCTGAAACAAGACTCAATATTTGGACAATTCTAAGGTTCCGAAAAAAGGTATAAGCTTACTTACCATTTATTCATCACTAACATCTACTGCTTGACATTAATAAGGCAGGTGTAGGGCAAGCACTAACCTGAAGCACAGATGAAGCACCATGCAGCATTCAGATGGTGGGTAATACTTTTCTTGCGAGGTTTGTAATGTTGAGGACAAATTATCTGTGAACTTGTCAAGATCTCCGACCCAGCTGAGAGGCAATAGTTCCCTGCAATGGTAACGTCTATGTCTACATATTAGTGATAAAAATTTCTTCTCTTCAAAGGAAACAGCAGACAGTTAAACCTATTGAGCATCATCCACAAAAAATCCTATTTACTCTAGAGGAGGAGACAAATTGTTCTATACATTTTCTTGACCTCCCCACATTTTTATCAAACATGACCACTTCCAATTTAAGATCTATAGAAAACTGACTTGTACTGGCCTAACTATTAATTCAGAATCACACCATCCATACTCCCAAAATATGGCTGCATAAAAAGTTTTGTAGACAGGTTATTGACCGTGACACTGAATGCAAAATATTTTGAGGATCAATTAAATAGCCTTCCAGTAAAATACATGGCTGTAAAATTGATTCAAAAGATACAAGATAGGATTGATAAACATCTAAAAAGAAACCAAAATAAAACAAAAAAGCTCAAAGGTTTAATAAGTTGACTTTGGAACTCATCTGTTAAAAGTTTAAAAATATTATGGGCAAGAACAACACCACATTGTCATTTAAATCTGCCAAAAAAACTTTGTTCTATGTAGGGATGGTCAAGTCTCGAAATTTCGGGAAATTTTCAGGAAATTTTAAATCTCGTTACACGAGACAAGATTTCTTTTTGGCCGAGATTTTTATCGAGACAAGAATAAAAAAAAAGAAAAAAATTAAAAACGCCTGCAGAAAGTCAATGCAATACCCGCAATACAGGAGCGTTTCCTTTGCGAAGGCGTTCTTATTTAATTAATTCTTTAAATGTAAATATTACTTTAATAACGAGAAGTTTTGTTAAGTGTAAGCAGTGTGAGGAATGTTTTATTACTATAAAAAGTCAACACAAGTAACTATTTTATAAAAATCTATATATTAATTTGAAACTGTTTTTCTTTGTGACAGCTAACTTGAGAGAACGGCTGGGCGTAGAAACTCGGTAGAGGTGTCTAAAGAAAGGGCTTGGTCTGTAGATGAGCCATCAAAAGAGAAACGTGGTAAATTCCCTTGGGGCTCTGCCCCAGTGGCCTTTAAATTCCCATCCCATGTTATTCTTATGGGGGAAAAACGGGTTATTGTCACAGCTAATTCCAGAGAACGGCTGGGTGTAGAAATTTGGTAGGGGTCTCTAAAGAAAGGTCTTGGTCTGTAGATGAGCCATCAAAAGAAAAACGAGGTAAATTCCCTTGGGGCTCTGCCACAGAGGCCTTTAAAGTCCCCTCAGCAGATTTGTTTCAGGGTGTCTAGTTTATTTCCATTATAAAATTTAAGACTAATTCCAGACTTTTCAAGACTAATTCTAGATTTTTCAAGACTAGTTTTTTCAACAATTAGTGGGTGTTGATACAAAAATGTATCGATTCGCGATTCTTGAAACCGACACTAATACTACACCAACCCCTGTCTATGTCATAAAGTAGTATTATGATAATGTGGTGTTTTCAAGTAAAGAATAATGCAGCAATAACAAATTCTAACTATAAAATTTGGTTTTTTTATCATGAAATCTTCCGCGTACCGTACGTTTAGACATCATCATTGACTGCAGCGGTTACAGAAACGTGATCGTCGTCGTCCGCGATCACGGCAAAATCATGAACATTTCCCGCGGCCGTGTGGACATCATTGTCGTCTCCCGCGGTCACGGAAACGTCATCGTCATCTCCCGCGGCCACGGAAACGACATCGTCATAGTCCGCGGTCGCGACAAAATCATGAACATTTCCCCCTGCCGAGCAGATACCATCGTCGTCTCACGGGGTCACGGAAACTTCATCGTCGTCTCCCGCAGTCATGGAAATGTCGTCGTCATCTCCCGCGGTCACGGAAACGTCATCGTCATCTCCCGCGGTCACGGAAACGTCATCGTCATCTCCCGCAGTCACGGAAACGTCGTCGTCCGCGATCGCGGCATAATCATGAACATTTCCCGCGGCTGTTTAGACATCACCGTCATCTCCCGCGGTCACGGAAACGTCATCGTCGTCTCCCGCTGTCAAAGAAATGACATCGTCGTCTCTCGTGGTTTTGGAAACGTTATCGTCGTCGTCCGCGATCACGGCAAAATCATGAACATTTCCCGCGGCCGTGTAGACATCATCGTCGTCTCCCGCGGTCACGGAAACGTCATCGTCATCTCCCGCGGTCACGGGAACGACATCGTCGTCGTCCGCGATCGCGACAAAATCATGAACATATCCCCCGGCCCAGCAGATACCATCGTCGTCTCCCACGGTCACGGAAACGTCATCGTCATCTCCCGCGGTCACAGAAACGTCATCATCGTCGTCTCCCGCGGTCACGGAAACGTCATCGTCATCTCCCGCGGTCACGGAAACGTCATCGTCGTCGTCCTCGATCGCGACAAAATCATGAACATTTCCCGCGGCCGAGCAGATATCATCGTCGTCTCCCGCGGTCACGGTAACGTCATCGTCGTCTCCCGCTGTCACAGAAACGTCTTCGTCGTCTCTCGTGGTTTCTGAAACGTCATCGTCGTCGTCCACTATCGCGGCAAAATCGTGAACATTTCCCGAGGCCGTGTAGACATCATCATCATTGGCTTTCGCAGTTACGTAAACGCAAGACGACGATCGCGCCAAAATCATGAAAATTCCCGACTTTGTAATCAAATTTAAGACTAAATCCCGACTTTTCAAGACCATTTTGAAATTCAATACTAATTCCCGAGTTTCCCGACTACTAGACACCCTGTTGTTTACATTATGACCATATGTATAATTTTACACCAATTTTTAATGAAACAGCTGTTAATATTTAAATTGTGATTTACTGAATTTGTCAAAATGAAGTACTGTATTTGCAATGGTTTTTTTTTCTGATTTTAAAATAGATTTTCTTCTGCATCATGTCATGTTTTGCAATATAATGTTCTATTGCCAAATCAGTGGAAAATCCTAATATCACAGTAACTCTTAAAATTATTTCCTATGAAGTTAACTTATGTCTATTGTTAGGGTTAGTTTCTTCCTTTTTTACCACTGGAGATTGTATGTAGGCGTGTTGCACGTAGATGATATTCATTGGCGTATTGCATCTGTAGACGATACTTGGGTTGGTGTATTGTTTTATTACAATGAAAAAAGCGAGAAATCCTGGACAATTTGATATAGGCCTACTAAAAATAAAACTGAATTAACACTGAGCTACATTTCTTGAGCAATCATTGAAAGAGCCGATTTGCAAACAATGGAAGCATAAGAAGGTCATAGAACACAACCAAGTAGAAGAAATAGAATTAATGTTTTTTTTTCTTAATTTATAATCGTTATTATAGAGAACCTAATGCGGCTATGAGTGGGAAACATTTGGAGAAAACTCTAAAAAACAAGATCAGCTTTTGAAAAAAGATAAGATATTTACAAACAATAATTTTGATTATATCTAACTGTTGTGTACATCGAGAGTATTTCCATAATCGTTGAGTCGACTTTTATAAAGTCATCGGAAATTCTGATCGTTATTCGTTTGAAAATAACGCATGCAATGCTTCGCAATTGCTCGAATTCAAGCAACAGGTACACTAGTTAATGTTGCTTTTATTTTATGATTTATTTTATTTTAGGATAAGTTTAACTCTTTCCTAACTGATATCACTATGTTTCCTAATCGTAGGCATTTTTAATAAGTTAGGCGTGATTAATAAAAAAAATGTTATGCTGATGTTTTTTAATAAAAGATTGTAAATATTCTTGCCTATTATCATTATTTTTGTATTTAAACAGTCATCTAAAAATGTTACAAAATCAGGTAAAAATTTTGAACGTGCATTTCCCGTTGTGTATGAGAAGGGAAATCCCGTCTCAATCTCGTCTCAAAATTTTATGAGAAATAAAAAATCTCGTCTCGAACTAAAAATCCAATCTCGTCCATCCCTAGTTCTATGTTTAAGGAACATCCTCAACCGACTTCAGTAACACAACGGTATTATGACATTCTTAACTGGGGTTAAGAAAATTAATTGCATCCATTATGATAGCTATTCTATAAGCCATACAACATCACACTCCTTTTCAGAGCGATTTAAGGAACACATCACCAATAAAACCCACGTCCAAATAACCATCAACTTTTGCAGAACATTTAATCACAAACAGAAACATCCATTATTATTCCAACATAAACGAGAACATGACTGTTCTATATTTCAAAACCCATACCGCAGCAAACCTGCAGACTAAGCAAATTTCCATTTGCCTGGCTAGATTTCCACTAAAAATATTCCCTTAAAATTGTCAGATTAATCTCCTATTTATATAACATTAATAATGGTTTAATTTACCTCTGTCAATATGGTCCTTGCGTAGTTTGTCACTACTGTAGTTTCAAGCTCGTGGAGCACATCTTCAGGTGAAGGTCAAAAAGTTAAAACATTCTCCTCACCTGAAGGTCGTCAATTTTTGAAAACACACCGAAAAACACATAACACACAAACGGTACGAAAAAAACATTTATGAACTTGGCCAGTACATTAAAAACGTTACACACGGGGTCCGGCGCCGGTAGAAGACAAGTCATGACTGACGTGTGCTGTAGTCGGTAACCCCTCCATCCTCACTTCTCTTATCAGACAGAACCTTTTCTTTGGTCTTGTTCCAGGATGTGAATGGCGGTATTATAAATAATGTTAGACTGGAATGAGAGTTGTTCGTTTAAAATATGGTTTGGATGTACTTTAGCTGCTCGGTAAATCTCAAATTCCTCGATGGTGTCCATATATTTACTTTTATGACAAGTATGCATTACTTCTAAATTTGTTTGTATATTGGTAAACTATGGTTTGAATCAATGATGTGGTTGGCAAAAGCTGATTTGGAATTCTTTCTTGGTAAATGTTCCTTAAATCTAGTTGCAAAAGAGCGTGATGTTTGCCCAGTATAAAAACTGGGGCAATCATTACATGTTATTTTATACACTCCAGTGTTGTTTAATTTGTCGCTATTGTCAGTTTGTCTTTCTTTTAAATTACTGGACAGTTTGTTTGTGGTTTTGTAAGCAACTGTGATATTGTTTTTTGCTAATTCTTTTTTGAGAACATTATTAAGTACGATGCCATATTCTGCACCAACATATTTTTTGGGTTCTTTTGTATGTATCTGATTATCCTTTTTCTTGTCTGATAAGAGAAGTAAGGATGGAGGGGTTACCGACTACAGCACACGTCAGTCATGACTTGTCTTCTACCGGCGCCGGACCCCGTGTGTAACATTTTTAATGTATTGGCCAAGTTCATAAATGTTTTTTTTCGTACCGTTCGTGTGTTATGTGTTTTTCGGTGTGTTTTCAAAAATTGACGACCTTCATGTGAGGAAAATGTTTTAACTTTTTGACCTTCACCTTAAGATGTGCTCCACGAGCACGAAACTGCAGTAGTGACAAACTACGCAAGGACCATATTGACAGAGGTAAATTAAACCATTATTATTGTTGCTGTATGGTCCAGAGGCTACCCATCATGAAGTATATAACATTAATTATAATGAGTACAGTATTTAGGTTTGCTGCTACATAGGAGGTAATGACATTGCAGACGGTACATTAATCTAACTGTCACAAAGGGTTCCCACACTCCTGACTGCTAGCCTTCACTACTTCCTTCACCACTTCCTACGTCGTGGACCTGTTTCCCACCCTTTCCATAACATTTTAGTATTGCGACTGTTTCATTGCAGATACATAAATCTAACTGTCACAGAGGGTTCCCTCCCACACTCCTGACTGCTAGCCTTGACTACTTCCTTCACCACTTCCTACGTCGTGGACCTGTTTCCCACCCTTTCAATAGCATTTTAGTATTACAACTGTTTCATTGCAGATACATAAATCTAACTGTCACAAAGGGTTCCCACACTCTGCACTTCTCGCCTTGACTACTTCCTTTATCACTTCCTACGCAGTGGACCTGTTTCCCACCCTTCCCATAGGATTTTAGTATTGCAGGTACATTAATCTAACTGTCACAAAGGGTTCCCACACTGCATAGATTCCTGTTCTCGGTGGGGGGCTGGTGTAGCGTCAGCTGATGTTGTCTTAGTAACACATGTACACTTTTTAACTCTTCTAACTCTAACTAAAATTTCCAGCTTTCCAGGAATTATTTCCGGGCAAAACCCTATTTTTATGGCCTACAAGTTCTACTATTGTAATTTAATACTTAACTAGTACGACTGATGTTTCAGACTAATAGATTTGTATTTTTAAAAGTTGAACTATATCCTAACTGATATAACTATGTTTCCTATGAATAAGAACTATTTTTAATAAGGTAGGTATAATAATTTTTTTTATACTGATGTTTTTATTGACTTTTTATAAAAAGATTCCAAATAGCGTATTAGAATCCAAAACTAATCCCAATGAATTATAAATGTAACCATCAACACACAGTGACTCACCGTAGTGGTAGGATGTAGGACACTTGATGCAGCGCACTAGTTTGTCATTGCTGTACCTTGCCTTGATGACACCAGGGTTGTCAGACACACAGGTGTGGCAACAGTGTTGAGGACAAGTCAACACTCCTCGGTTGGTACCCCTCCATGAGGTCTGCGGCCAAGCTTTCAGACATTCCTCATGGTACACCTTCCCACAGTTGGCTACACAAACACACAAATCAAGAATTACAAGTTTGTAGTAGTGGACTGGTGGGCCTAGTGGGCCTAGTGGTTGTTTCTAGTTGAGGACCAAAGCTAAGGTAATAACTCAAGTATTGAGTTGAGTTAAACATTTACAAGTGTTTGATTTGAAAATAAATTTACTTTTGGTTTTACTTCATATCTGACTCTGCTGATACATGCTTCAGTGCACATGGTAGACTTAGGTCTTGAATTAGGTTATAAAATACATCCACATCTTCTCACTTATTCCATCATCATCACCACTAAAAATAGAGTAAGCTGTGTTAGAAAATGATAAAAATATGATGAGGTATGGAAAGTGCTGGCTGAGAAGTATTAAAACTAATCAAAATTTATTGGAAGATTCTAACAAAGCTAGTTTTATTAGCCTATAATTTATAATTAGTTTATGGTAAAACTATATGTTAATCGAACAAAAGCATAAAAAATATCTGTCATACATGTAATGCACCGGTAGAGTTTGGACTCTCCAGTTTTCTTCTGGACATACTCGTGACAGGCGAAGCAAGGCTGTGAACGACCTTGTCTACAGTCTTTGCAGCGAAAACCTTCATCATCTTCTCCACTACTATCCTTACTGATCTTTCTCACTTTGGGTGTCGCCTCCACAACCTCAACATCAACACTGGGGTCCACCTCTGTAACAACATATGTCAGAACCCTCTCCACCACGATCAACACGTTACCGTACTGTATGAGCTAAAGCACTGCAGTAGGCCTAAGGTTTTCAGAGTTATTAATTTAAGATAATGAGAAGTACTTAGTTAAATGAGTTTCGAACTTGAGGCAGCAGTAAGAAAATTCAAATGATTATGTTATTTGTCTGACCTGGCTAACGACGGATAAAAAGGACGATTTTGAGACAAGGAGGTAACATTTTTTAACTTCTTTCCTCTTATCATGTTTTAACCCATTTCAGAAGCATTGTCTTAACCCAATGAGGATAATGTACTACAGTACACTCTCGATTATCCGAGGTCGTTTTAGGCCTAAATATTTATATTTTTATTTCTGGTCGGGAAACAATAATTAAATTTTTATGAATGTTTCTGTTGAAATTAAAGTAATAATAATATTATTAAAGTAATTTGCAATTTCTTAAAATTAATACTTTATATAATTATTATCATAGGTATTAGTTTAACATATACTACGCATCAAAATAACTTAGAAAATTAAAATCGCACACAGTACTTGGTTGGCTGCAACTATTGGTAATAAAGTGGACAAGTCATCTGCAGAACGTCAACAAAAGCAGAAGCATTTCTGCTCGGGCATTGCCGGCTCATATCACATTTTGTCAGTGATTGTCATTACAATGTTTTAATATTGACATGATGGTGTCAAGTATTGTTGAAGTCAAACTCAAACAAAAAAAAATTGTGCACTTTAAAAACTATTGGGACCCACTTTATTCTGTTTTTATTTAACCCTGTAGAGTGTTGACTTAGTATTCTTATATATAATACGTGAAGACGATTTCTACAAAACACTACTCCTCCGTTAATAATGGATTTGTACAGACGATGTGTCAAAAATTACATTTTTTTTTTCTAGACGCACACTTTCACCAATTTCTGTAATAAAAGTCCCCAAGCTTTGCCCCACAGGCCATCAAAATCCCAATGTATTTCTCATGAAGAAAATTTACCAACCCAGCTGTTTAATAAATCTTACATGTTGTTACTTGAATATAACAAAACAACACATGATTTAATATTTTAAATGCAATACCGTAGACTAACCAACACAAGAGAGTATTTTAATCTATGGGAATACACTATATAAAATGCTGGAAATACATAAAGAGATCTTCATTTAAATAATCAATAAGTACGATTGAGCTTTGCCTATATATGTTTCCTGGTATGTGCGTTGTTACTGTTTCTTATAGTAGATTTAAAAAACCAAATTATTCTTTTCTGCATTTTTATCCTGTAGTGAAGCACAGGCAGAGCAACTAGTAATTAATAATACTGTATTTAAATTTTATAAGACAAATTAAGAAGTGTAAGCATGTTTGAGTTGATGTTTTCCTTAATAACACTGTCTTATTTAAATACATTTTCTATGAAAATACTAATTATTGATCATTTTGTATTAAAACTCACTATGCATTATTATTAAAACATATACTTTACAAGTCTTTGACTTCCTAATGTGGTACCGTAACCCCTAACCTCAAAATCTAAGAGACCTACGTGTTATTCAAGATTCTCAGTAACCGAGGTAGTCTGAGACCCAACAACTTTGGTTAATCAGGAGTGTACTGTAGCAAAATCTTATTTCATCACTTTTACATACCAGTTTTATTTCCTTGTTCTGGTTGACTCTCAGCGACATCATTAGAGACTTCATTGTCCTTTTCTTCTGGCAAAGGAACAATGTTTTCTGTGACAAGTGAAGCCACTGAGCTTGACTTGGGCTTACCTCTCTTCCCCTTCTTGACAAAGGTTCGCGTGGGGGTTTGTGTGGGGGAGGGGGGAGGTAGAGGATTGATCACACAGCTAGGGTGGTAGTAACCCTGACAAGGGCCTCTGCATCTAATTGTGTCTCCCACTCTTTCACAGATCTGGCAAACCTGTACAAGCACAAATTGAAGTATCACTTGGTTATTATGAAGAAATTTACCATTAAAGGATGTAACAGAGTACAAGGGCCTATGTTTTTAGGATTTGTTTGAGATTATAGCAGGCTTAACAGATTGGGAAAGAATCCAAACTGACACAAGAGACACAAAACTTCACACTAAATTCCCAAAACAATAGAATATTTCACTGTCACTGACAGAATTTTCAACCAAGGAAAGAGAGAGTATTCTTTAAACCCGAAATAGTGGCCAGTGAGTTGTCGAGACAGTCACTATTTTAACTGTCTTAACAGTGAAATATTCTATTGTTTTTGGTATACAGGGTGTTCATTTGAAAACTTTCCATATCTGTTGTGTGCAAAGGTAAGGCTTTTAACACTTGTTCGTTCTCATTTCCCCCTAATTTGGACATGCCAAATCCAATAAAATTATTTTCAATTTTGAAAAATGCCCCAAAAGGGCCCAATTTGGGGGGTAGGGGTGCTTTTTGAGAAATTTTCAAATGTAAACATGGGTTGTGTGATACATCAATTTAAAGGTCTAATCACCCCGATCATTTTGGTGCAAAATAAGTTTAATTATCTTTAACCGTATTTACAGGGTGGGTCAAAACGTTTTAAAAAAGGACTTTGAAGTTAAGTACCGTATTACCCTAAATACTGAACGGAACAGCGCCAAATTTCTTTCCAAGCTTATTCTTGAGCTACTCTTTAAGATAACTTGTAGTAAGGGCATTTTCCATGTTATTTTCTAATCAAAAAAAAATCTCAAATTTTAAGAATAAAAGAAAGCTGAAAACTCAAAATTCTTAAATAGCAAGGTATGACAAATTTCATACCACGTGAAAGGTCCTTTTTTAACAAACATTTTACGTATTTAAGTTTTCTTTCTATCTCTTACCGTTTAAAAATTGCAGTGGAAAAACATAATTTTCTATGGTAAAATTATAACTAGTTTTCTAATAAAACACATTGCACTTTGTACAACGATGTAGTAGGATTCATAACAAATTGATCGACTACTTTAACGTGTGTCAGAATTCATCTTGGACTCTTCATCCTGTTCTTTTCTCATTGGTAACTGAGCCAGTTTCAGAAAACTTCCTAACTAAATCATTTACAGCCATATGACTCAAGGTATACCTGGATATCTATTGTTAAACACTTTGCAGTTATCCTGGAACACTTTTGTTATGACCAATAAGTAAAAATAAAGTCTATTTTTTTAAGTTTACACCATATTTGATTAGGTACTACAGAAAATGGTACTTTTGAAATTAGTACTACCATTGACTAGTCAATGGTACAACAGAAAGCGGCCCACGCTTGGGTTTTTCTCATCAGCTATAAAACTTGTTTTTCACAAAGTAAAACGTAATGACTTGTTTGCCTATCTGCCTAAAAATAATTATGAATTGTTTCCTTCAGTTATTGCACCATTTAATGTGTCTAGAGACGAATTTTGGCTGTTTTATTAGAAAACTAGTTACAATTTTACCATAGAAAATTATGTTTCTCTACTGCAATTTTTAAACGGTAAGAGATAGAAAGAAAACTTAAATACGTAAAATGTTTGTTAAAAAAGGACCTTTAACGTGGTATGAAATTTGTCATACCTTGCTATTTAAGAATTTTGAGTTTTCAGCTTTCTTTTATTCTTAAAATTTGAGATTTTTTTTTTTATTAGAAAATAACATGGAAAATGCCCTTACTACAAGTTATCTTAAAGAGTAGCTCAAGAATAAGCTTGGAAAGAAATTTGGCGCTGTTCCGTTCAGTATTTAGGGTAATACGGTACTTAACTTCAAAGTCCTTTTTTAAAACGTTTTGACACACCCTGTAAATACAGTTAAAGATAATTAATCTTTTTTTGCACCAAAATGATCGGGGTGATTAGACCTTTAAATTGATGTATCACACAACCCATGTTTACATTTGAAAATTTCTCAAAAAGCACCCCTACCCCCCAAATTGGGCCCTTTTGGGGCATTTTTCAAAATTGAAAATAATTTTATTGGATTTGGCATGTCCAAATTAGGGGGAATTGAGAACAGACAAGTGTTAAAAGCCTTACCTTTGCACACAACAGATATGGAAAGTTTTCAAATGAACACCCTGTATATAGTGTAAAGTTTTGTGTCTCTTGTGGTTTGGAAGCCTGTCCTCACAAAAATTCCATTAAAGGGATTAAACAGACTAGATAATGATGGGTCGGTTGCTGATTTTATCGGTTCAGTTTCGGTTGGTTTTTTTTTTTTTTACTGCAACAAGAATAGCCGTTTTTAATGCATGCGTTGCAGTTCTAAAGTAGAATTTTTACTCTCAAGGGAGTAAAAATCAGCTGTTGTTCACTCAATTGTAAATTTCGCAAAAGTATGTACAGATTGTTAAATTTATTGTAGGTAGCTTATTGTTGCCTTATTGTAAATAGTTCAACATAGATTCAAGATTCAAAAGTCTTTATTCATAATACAGTACACGTTCACAGTGGCTTAACACTAAATGCGGAGCTCCGCAGGGGTCAATTCTTGCTATTTTTAATATTCATTAATGATTTACCTAGATATGTTCCTTCAAAACAGACTAGATAATGATGGGTCGGTTGCTGATTTTATCGGTTCAGTTTCGGTTGGTTTTTTTTTTTTTTTTACTGCAACAAGAATAGCCGTTTTTAATGCATGCGTTGCAGTTCTAAAGTAGAATTTTTACTCTCAAGGGAGTAAAAAAATCAGCTGTTGTCCACTCAATTGTAAATTTCGCAAACGTATGTACAGATTGTTAAATTTATTGTAGGTAGCTTATTGTTGCCTTATTGTAAATAGTTCAACATAGATTCAAGATTCAAAAGTCTTTATTCATAATACAGTACACGTTCACAGTGGCTTAACACTAAATGCGGAGCTCCGCAGGGGTCAATTCTTGCTATTTTTAATATTCATTAATGATTTACCTAGATATGTTCCTTCAAAACTCTAATGATCCTCATTTCAACGTGCTAGTTATACCCCAGCAAAGATGGTGTGTGTGTATATATATATATAACATGCAAGAAAATATTAGTGATGGTCGGATCTGGATATCGGACTACCAGATCCGCCGGATCTGAGCTAGAACCGACGCCCTATCGGATCCACAAGAAATCGTATCTTGGGCTGGATACGGTTTTAATGTATCTGATTATTTTTACTATCAACACAAAACAGGGGTACAGTACGGCCATGAAACTCGAGCTTATCTTTGAACTCTGCAAGTTTGGTTTAAAATTGTGAAAAATCAATATTTGTTCAAATGTAACTTGTGTTTACATAAAATGATGGATAATTTGTATTACTGTAGATTCCACAGTAATACAAATATTCCTAGACATAAGACATAAGACATAAGACATATTTTATTTACACAATACGTTCTTTATAAAGTACATTTCATACATAAGAACAGGTGTTTCGTCATAGTGATGTATTTTATAGTAAAATTAATAGTTAAAATAATTAAAATAAACTCATGTAGGATATCAGAGAATTTTTATCTACATTATAGGGTTCTCCAAAAATTCGTCAAGTGAATAGTAGGCTTTCTCAATTATTTTATCTTTTATTTTATCTTTGAATTGAGTAGCATTTAAATTTTTAAGATACAGGGGTAATTCATTGTACAATCTAAGTCCCATATATTGAGGGCTGTTCCTAAAAGTCGTCAATTTGTGATGTGGTAATCTGAAATTATATTTATTCCTTGTATTATAATTATGTGTAAATTTGACTACATCTGACAAATTTTCCTTAGTGTTATGTATCCAATTTAGAATTTCATTTATGTATAATCCAAAAATGGTGTGGATTCTAAGATTTTTAAACAGGTTTTTACATGATTTTCTCCTTCTTGATTTGGTTAAGATTCTAATAATTTTTTTCTGTAAAATTAGTAGGGATTTGACTTCTGTTGACACTCCCCACAGGATGATTCCATACCTCAAGATGGATTCAACGTATCCATAGTAAACTGTGATACATGTATCCTGAGGTACACAGTTTATCAGGTGAAAGAAAGCAAAAGAAATAGATCTTAGTTTGCCTTTCATCTTATCTATGTGAATCTTCCAATTAATATGAGTATCAAGCAATACACCCAAGAATCTATGAGATTCTACTAAATTTGGAATTTTATCAAGAATTACATTGTTTTTTAAAGAAAATTTAATTATATGAGTTTTGTCAATATTCAGCTTTAAACCATTATCTGTAAACCAATTTTTCATACAATCCAAAGTGTTTTCTATTGATACAATTAAGTTATTTACTGAATCCTCTCTTATGATTGCTGTTGTATCATCAGCAAATAAGATTAAATCTCTGCCAATAGCTTTTGGAAGGTCATTAATAAAGATCAGGAAAAACAGAGGGCCCAATATTGACCCTTGAGGTACACCATAATTAGATAAATTCCAGTTTGACACATGTTTCACACCGTTTTTGGTCACTATTGTTCTATACTTTCTGTTCTGTAAATAAGAGTCTAATAAAGAAAAACTTTTACCCTTTATACCGTAGTCTTTTAATTTAGAAAGCAAAATTGAATGATCCACACAATCAAAGGCTTTAGACAGGTCACAGAAAACACCAGCAGTAGTTTCAGACCTGTCCAAAGCCTTTGTAACATCATTGATAAATTCAATCAGTGCACTGTTGGTGCTGAATGCCTTTCTAAATCCAAACTGTTTTTCATAAAACAAATCATTGCTGTTAAAATTGTTTACTAGCCGGAAATTGATAACTTTTTCAAATATCTTTGAAAAATTACTTAAAACAGATATTGGGCGGTAGTTATTTATATCGGTTCTAGCCCCTTTTTTGTATATCGGAGTAATATGAGAGTATTTCAATTTTTCCGGGAAAATACCACATTCAAAACATTTATTAATTATATCTGAGAGGGGTTCAGCAATTTTATTTGCTACTGCTTTGATGAGTGAAATGGGAACTTCATCCCAAC